TGCTCCCTGTGGATGAGGTAGGGATCAGAGCGCTCTCCAAGGACAAGGCGATTACCAAGTGAGCACTCACAAATGTTGGGATTCGCCCACGAAGAGAGGCTTTTGTGGCAAAACAGGAAAGCATTGTTCAATCCCGCCTTAGCCCTGACTGTCCTTGGGAGTATATGCAAGTGAGATGCAGGTAAGCGCCTGTGTAAACATAAGGGTTCAAGGCAGTCCTAACACTGACACGGCAATGGCTATCTAAGCGGCTGATAGGTGAGCAATTGATAACTGCCACGCTTATCACAGCACAGAGGACTGGGCTTTGATTCCGGTGCCAGAGCTCAGCAGCACCTGAGTTATCATAAGAGGTAATTTGTACGCTATTACGATTCATGGGAGTTGAAGCACTATTTGAGATAGGAGTCTGTGGTTTGTCCAGACTTAACTAGTTTTGCATAGAAAATGCTAGTTCATTAATTCTTAAATCCGCTGATGTAAAAAGGCTGTGGGGCCAGGGAGATGGCTCAGGGGGTAAAGCACTTGCCACACAAGTATGAGGACTGGAGTCTGATGCCCAGCATCACTCATGGAAACAACGGGCAAGCTTGACACCCTGGCTATAATCACAGCCCTTGCGAGGCAGAGACAGGGGATACGCTGGGCAGGCTGGATAGCAGGATTAGCTGAGGAGACAAGCAATTAGTTCAGAGAGATCCCACCTCAGTAAAGAAAACAGAAAAGTAATCAAGGGAGATGCCTGGCATCAGGCTCTGGCTCCCACACACATGCACACACACCTGCAAACACAGGCATACACATGTATGCACATGACATATATATGTAAAAGGTTATTAGGGGTGCAGGGGATGGCTTCAATTTGAAGATGTTTCAAAACCAAAAAGGACGGGGGGGGTCCCACATACCAGACTGCAACTCAGAAGGTGGCCTAAAAATGTCACCAAACTAAAGGGCAAGGAAATGCCCAGAGAGTGTAGGATGGATGGAGGATCCAACGCAGTAAGCCTGATCTACCCAAGAGGAGGCAATGTGAACATCAATAGGACATAACCAAAAACAGTCACGAAGGACTGGAACATTGGCAATTTGCCAAGGTCCAAAATTACAAGGAGACTAAAGAATGCAACTCACTGGACACCGGGGACCAATTCATTCTCAGGGCAAGGCGGCCTCCATTCCTAGACAATTATATGCAAAGGCAACCAAAAGTTGGTAAGAAAACTTAACACCTATACTAATATTCCAGCGATAAATGAGAATAAGTCATTTTGCAACTCCCGATGAGTTAATCCCCCCCAGACAATTATTGTCCATTCCACCAACATCCCCAGAGAGACAAGCAGGTGAGCCAATATCTCCAAGAAGTAGGCTTGCCAAAAACATCAAGCCTGAACACAATTAAACTCTAGTTCTAACCGCTGAACTTACAGGGAATACAAAGACAGAAGATCGTGTTAATGGGTTCTCAGAAGCTGTGTTCACCCTTTGACATTGTGACAGGAAGCTGTCATCTTCAGAGAATGGAACAATCAAGTTACCCCTCCCCCAAAAAATCGCATACAAAGCTCATAATATTTGAAGTTCACAATCCTCCCATTACAGGCATTCATAGCTCTCCTTTGGCAACAGGCATCCCACAAGCGACAGGTCAGACAACTTTGTTTACATTAAAACTGCTTAAGGTTCTTCATCCTTGGGGCTGCTCAGAAAAACAACAGAAGAGAACAGAAGAGCTATGCCAACCATCACAATATCTAAACACCCTGGGCAGCACAGAACTGCAAAGCCACCGTAAGACAATCCGGGAACAGGAAAAGCCACCTTGCTGCTTGGTATGGTTGCGAAGGCAACCCAAAGGAGGAAAGGGTTAATTTAGCTCTCAGTTCCAGGTCGCAGTCTATCCTGTGATGAAAGTGACAGCAGCTAAAGTTCAGAAGAATCCGCTGCATTATATCCACAGTCAAGCAGCCTGCAACGAATCTATGTCTGTGACGAAATCAGGGCGTGCAAACGGTCAGCTTACTCTTTCCGTGTTACACAGTTGGGGATCCCCACACCGGCACAGTCCTGCCCATGATTAAGATAGTCTCCCCACATCAACTGATGTGATCAAGACAATCCCCCACAGACATCCTCAGAGGCTAGCCTTAATCTAGGCGGGCCCTCACAAGCGTGCCTAGGGGAGCGCCTCTTGTTGGCAATGCTGAGTACCAACGGTAAATAACTGTGCCTAATCATTTATTCTTAGAGTAATGATATGGAGGCTATGTTTTGGACGCCATCACCCTCCCCGTTTGCATTCCCCACGACTCTTATCTGCAGCAGCTGGATGGCAGCTCTGATTATTCGCACTGAGTCTAAGTCAGATGAGTCTCTCTCATATCTGTGTCCCAAGGACAGTACCTGTGATCCCAGAGATGAATCGACATGTTTATGCTTCTATACCAGACAGAAATGTTACAAGATCAGCACCATGGTATCTGGGATAACCATCCAGGGGAGAGGAACCTCAAGTTTGGTCACAAGCCATCAATTAAGGGGGCTGTGTGGTACGTGGACAGACATTCATTAACCTATTTTTCCTATTTTAATATGCTTGAAATTTTCTATATTAATCCCCCACCCCCTGCCACAGGGGCTGGAGAGAAGGCTCAGCAGTTAAGAGCGAGCACTGGCTGCTTGCTCTTCCAGAGGACCCAGGTTCAGCTCCCAATACCCACATGGCAGCTCACGCCTGTCTGTAACTCCCGTTCCAGGGGATCTGATGCCCCTTCTGGCCTCTGTGGGCATTGCATGCATGTGATGCACAGACACACCTATAGGCAAAACACACACACACACACACACACACACACACACACACACACACACACACACACACGCCTTTATTTTTACTAAAACAAATTTTAAAGAAAAAAATAGGTAAAGAGAATCATCATTAGACTAAAAAGAAAGAGTAAATACAGCTTTGGTAGCAAAATGCTAGCAGTGGAACTGGATACCACGATAAATTCCTTAGGGAGTCAAATCTGGCTTTGGATGGAAACCCCTTGCCTATTTGGCTTTAAGCAAGGACCATGATGAGTCAGAAGTCACTGCATCCAAGTTCAGAATCTTTAACAAGCACAGTCATGTCAAACCCTGAGCCCTCCCTAAAATGCTCTCTGTCATGAGTCTCCGAGAGCAGTGTTGAGCCAGACAACACTGTGTGTGGACACAGGACATCTGTCTACACTTAGACGGCCATAGGCAGCTGTTGTTTGTGAGTTCTCACACACCTTGGTCTAGATCTCACACCCCTGGGACTCTGTGTGCAATGTCTTCAGCTGCTAAGTGGACGGCAAAAACTAAAATCTGGAAAGACGGCTCAGCCAGCCAAGTTCTTGCTTTGCAAGCATTCGGACCTGAGTTTCATCCCCAGAACCCAGGCAGAAAAATGTCAAGCCTGTAACCATAGCTTTGAAGAGTCAGTGCATCTCTGGGGTTTTCTGGCTGGCCAGCCTAACCTCTTTGGAAACTCTCAAGCCAATGAGAGACTGTATCAAAAAGAAAGATGCTTGGTGCCATAAGAATAACATCTAAGAGGTGTCCTCTGACATCAACATGCACACACATACATCCACACATGAATGTGCACACACACTCGTATACACGCACACAAAACCCTAAACACACACAACCATAACCTTAACCCAGCTGTGAGAACTTATGGAGAGATTGAAGGAGGTTGATAGAGTGGTGGATTATTCCTTTCCCTAAGAGGAATTCCCACCTCAAATGTTCATTCAAAGAGTAGCAACAATGAGCAGGCCTTAGCAATGCACGGTTTTTAGGTCACACCGCATCTTGGCTATGCGTTCAGATGGCTACACCTGTAGCCTCATTCTGAACCAGTGTGCAACACCAAAAACCAAAGCCAGCCTATCGAAACCTTCATAAGCACAGCGGCCACTGTTTTCCACCTCCTGCAAGGAGGAGGAGGAAGAGGAGGCAATTATGGGAGCCCAGGTGTTTACCAAGCTCTTGGAGACTCCAGAGAGGGTGACGAACCAACCAATCCCATTTTTTCCTAGCATTTCTTTTCTTTTCTTTTCTTTTTTTAAACAGAATGTTGTTATCAAAACAAATGGGATGCTATAATAAAAATAGTGTCAGCAGGCCAACATTCTTCAAGGTTTAAACCAAAATTCATGTCTTCTAAAAACCGTTGTCTGCTATTCCCTGTGGTGGCCACCCCCCCTTAGGCTACCCTCACTTGGTCTCTGGACTCTTAACCATTTCTGTATGCTTATTACTCAGAGCTATTTAAAGTATGTGCTGTATCCAGCTGCTTATCACACCTTCCACAGGGTAAGTAAGGAGCTGCTCGCTTCCTCTGTCCCCTTTAGCGTGGAGGTGGGGAGCGTGGGGGTGAGGACAGGGACAGAGTCACTCAAAAGTCTTCTGCTGGAGCAAGAATAGAGAGAAAGAAAGTACAATGGTTGAAGAGGGAGAAAGACAGGGAGGGAAATGCTAATCTAAAACTAAAATATTGTGTTATTGCTCAAGATCTTGTGTGAATAAATAGCTTTTCTAAGACTAACTTAAAAACAAATCTTGAGGCTACAGTTATGGCTCAGTGGTGGAGAGCTTGCCTGGCATGAGCAAGACTCCAGGTTCGATCCCAAACTTGGGCGGGGGCCGAGGAAGAACATAGTAACAAGAATAACAGAACCCAATTCATTAGAGAGACTCAAGTGTCAAGAAAAACATCAATAACTTTTATAACCAAGGTGGCTGAGGAGATGCTACACCTCTACAGTAAACAACCGTGTAAGCACCTCAGAGCCACTACTAAAAGGTGACCTGAAATGGTCAATTAACCTCAGCTGAAAATGATCCAGTCAGATGTTTAATAATTTATATGTATATCTTTAAGAAGGAGAATTAAGCACAGAAGCCATAAAGAGTTGCTTCGCCCAATTTAACAACGCATTACCAGCGATGAGTAACATTACCTCTGAGTAATTTGGCGAGAGGTATTTCCCGTTGCACTTAGCCACGTGCCTTAGGATCTGCAGAGCCTTTTCTCCTTGCTTCCGGGTGATCAGCCAGCGGGGAGATTCGGGCACCACCCTGGTGAGGAGGGAGAGTTATCAGAATTAGGTCAGAAGTCTGAAAACCCAAAAGTTCGTGCGTCTTTCTAGTCTGAGGGATCTTGCACCATGTAGATTACAGATCAGGTTGGTTCTCAGAATTGAAAACAGACTCTCAAAAATGAATTTTCTTTACAAATTTGCAGTGAATGAGAAAACCGGCTAACTTGCTACAAAAAGAATTCTCCACAGTACATAGCTTTTGCAAGCACAGAGACCCATACTGCACCTCTGGTTACAGATACAAAAAGGATTCGGGCTTAGTGAATTAGGAGAAGGCAAAGTCTTTATCTTACTCATGGAACCTGATTTACCCACACATTAAGATTCAATGAGGGGAATAAATTAGTATATTCCCCCCAGTAAGAGTCAAATGGGTACATACATCTGGAACATCTTGATAATATTTCTCCCACATTCTTAACCTCTCATTAGTCAGAGAATGTTAACTTGCTTAATGGATTTTTTTTATCATATTTAATCTGCATGGTGAAATACTTAGTTTGTTATCTCATAATTCTCACTAAAGCATTGCAAACAGGTAAGTCATAGTGCAGTTAATTCATCTGGAATTTTGTACTGGGGAATTTTACTATTTGTTGTGACAACTTCCAGTCAAGCAACCAATAATCTCTGTACGTTGTCAGAGTTCTCTAGCAACCCCCTAGGCCAGAAGCATTCTGGAGACTTAGGAAATCGCCTCTGCTGCTTTCATTTCTACAATGGTTTGGCTCCTATGCTCATGTGCAACAGGATCAATACGGTAATGACCAACACCACCTTACCAGTAATAAAGGAGGAAGAGGAAGCTGGGTAGTGAGATGGCAAGCTGGATACCCTGCCAGCTGGGGGTAAAGTAGGCAATTCCGGGGAGGAGGATGATCCCGAGGGTGAAAAACATCTGGATCACAATCCCCACAATCCGCCTTTGTTTTGAACCCACTATTTCTGTCACTGAAGAGGAGAAGACACGAGATTAGTGGCGCTCTCAGCCAGCCGCAAAACAGACTCGATGCCCGCTAAACGCTCGGATGTCAGCACATGGAGGCTTCCATGTGTGCTGAGATGCTTAAGACGGCTCTCCAGGTACCTAAAGTGCATTTCTTCTATTTTTCTTTACCCTGGCATCCTCAGGCTTCCAAGCCAGCACCCTCTGGGTATGGTAGAGGAGGGCAAGGTTTTAAGACATCTCAATGGGGCTGCTGAGAGGTCGTTGTTATTATCAAAATAAACATAGCAAGCTAGCTCACCTTTCTCATTGTGCCACTGAGGACTTGAACATTGCACCCCCACCCCGGGAGATTATAATCATGGGAGTCATACTTTCCACCATCACAAGACAGTTTAGATGATGAACCTCATTGTTTGACTTTTCACGTATGTAGCAGATCTCTGAAATCCACCTGGGAAATTTCATTGCTGGAACCCCGACCTCCTCTGCACCTTCCCACCGGCTGGTTTTTCTGTTCTCATCATCCTGAGGCATGTTCCGTACCTGGCAGCCTCCCCAACTTCACAGTCTGGAACATTCCCCCCACCCCAGACTTGGGTTGTGTTAAAAACGCCACAGACTTCAATTATCCCTCCGTCCCAGCCAGTGCCTCTCAGTCCCTCCTTGTGCCCTCTGTCTCCTTTTCCCACCATAGATAGAGCTCAGGTATCTGAAGCATCCCTGCTAGGGTCTCACACAGTAGTCATGGGAGGCATCGGAAATCCCAACATCTGGGACATTGCTATCAGATCTCTCTTAGTGCCTTGGTCATAAACCCCTCTACCACTCACTTAAAGTAGCTGTCTGGTTTGGACTAGAATCGGAGCCAAGGGAGCAGCCTGGATCAAAGCGATGCAAGCAAGGGACAGTGTTTCATATTCTGTGTCTGGTTCCCGTTTTAAAACAGCATCCGTTCTCTGCATCATCTGGTCTCTGCAGTAGCGGGGGGTCCCACCCCTGTTCTGCTTGAAGTCTCCAGGACTTCCCGGGTGGGGGATGGTGAGCCAGACCCCCCTCCCTTCCCCCCACTCTAGTTCTCACACCGGAGGGGTCGCAACAAAACACGAAGTCTTACCAATCACGAAGCAGGTCATCCACGCCCCCTTTCCAAACACACCTTGCAGGAAGCGGAAGACGACAAACACAGAAAAGTTTGGTGCGAACGCCACCACGACCCCCGTGACGCCAACACCGAAACAGGATATTAAGTAAATGATCATCCTGCCATACCTTCATGAGGAAGAGAGAGAGAGAGAGAGTCCTAAACGTGGTCGTCAGCATAACGGAAATGGAATGAGACAGGATACCAAAGGGGGGAAAAAAAAAAAAGTCAAATGTGCACATAAATAAATAAATTAAAAGGTATGTGTCCTCTGTAACTTAACATTCACAGTAAGCAATACCGATAATGATTCCTGTGAAGCCAGGTAAAACTCCTCAGCACTCCACTATTCAGCTTGTTTGTCCCTCCTCACAACCCTTGTTCCCACTGAGTGGCAAAGAGGAGCAAATGGAGTCCTAACGTGGGGACTGCGAAGTTCCCAGTCAGTGTGTGTTGCTGTTGCTTCCATGTGGTTTGTAGAGCTATAGTTTAATCGCTCAGACGGCGGCCGGGCGCTATGGTCCGTTTCCCAGGCTCCTGTGAACAGGGCCAGGTGACTGGCTGACAGAAGCTCATCCTCAATGACCTTTGAGAGTTTCCATCCATCCTGTGTTATTTTCCTTACAACTTTCTTACTTCTGTGTCTTTGCATTAAGGGCAGAGAAGGAAACGGCCTTGACGTGTACACACGTTTTAAACGTCAACTCTGTGTCTTGAAACAGTTTTAGGTTCAAGCAATTTAAGCAGAAAAGACAAGAGTCCCCACGGACCCTTCCTTTCACACATGCATGGCTTGCCCTATCACCGACCCCCCCACCGAGTGATGCATCTGTGACAATTAATTAGCTTAAGGTGACATAGCATCACACAAGTCTGCAGGTTCAGGTTTCATTTCCCAGTGCTAGGGACCAAACCCAGGACCTTGCACAAGCAAGGTAGTGCCCTGCTACAGAGCTACATCCCACCCAAGGTTCACTCCTTCTGTTAGACACAGCCACCCTTCCGCGGGTCACACAGAAGAATCTTATGTCCTTACTTAACTCACTGCTAGTAGGAATGCAAAATTATGCAACCCATTATTTGTTGTTAGTGGTCACTCTTCACCCTAGGCAACCATAGACTTTTTTTTTCCCTCGATGTCTCCACAATTGGCAATTTTCTAGAATGTTCTACAGATCTATAGGAATGTCCTAAAGATCCTATAGGATTTGGACAGTATGTAGTCTTTTCAGACTGGCTTCTTGAACTTAGCAACGAGTTTTCTCTACATCTTTTTAGGGTTCCCAACTTTTTACAGTGGAGTAATATTCCACCGTCTGGATATGATCTATCCATTCAACCACTGAAAAACATCTTAGATGCCCCAAATGCTGACAATTATACATAAATCTGCTGCAAGGTCCACATGAGAGCCTGCATGTGGACGGACATTTTCAGCCCTGTTGGGTAGACACCAGTACTGTAATTTCTAGTCCTCTGCACTTAGTTTTGTGAGAAGACTGGCCATTATGTGTCTTACCAGCAGTGAACGGCAGTTTCTGTGGTTCACACACATGTTAATATATTAGCTCAATTTAGTTTTGAAGTTGCTAAGTGTGTGGGAGTTTTGTCTGCATGTAGCTCTGCACCGTGTGTGTGCATTGCCTACAGAGGCCAGGAGAGGCCATCTGATCCCCTAGAATTGGAATTAGAGCTGATTGTGGGCTGGCATGTGGATGCTGGGAATTGAACCTGGGTCCTCTGGAAGAGCAGCCAGTGCTCTTAACCATGGAGCCACTTCTCCAACCCTTATCCTGTGTTTTTGCACCTGTGTTTATGAAAGCTAAAGGCAATGTGATTTTATTTTCTTCTAGTTTGTTCATCTGGTTTAGGCAGTAAGATAATGCTGACACCACAGAATTAAGTTAGGGAGTGTTTCTTTGCCTTTGTCTTCTGAAAGAAATGGAGACAACTATGAGTAATTTGTTGCCTACTCAGTAAAATTTACCTACCCCAACTTTCAACCTGATAGCTCATGTTTTGGAAGGTTATTCATTACTGATTCAATTTATTTAACAGACATAGGTCTATTAAAATAATTCACTTTTTTTTTTTTTTTTGTGAGTTTAGGTGAGCTATGTCTTTCAAGAAACAAGCCCACTTTAGCCGGGTGTTGGAGATGCACACATTTCGTTCAAGCACTCGGGAGGCTGAGGCAGGTGGATCTCTGTGAGTTGGAGGCCAGCCTGGTCTACAGAGTAAGTTCCAGGACAGGCTCCAAAGCTACACAGAGAAACCCTGTCTCAAAAAACAAAAAACAAAACAAAACAAACAAAATACAAAAAAGAAAGAAAAGAAAAGAAAAAAGGGAGGAAAGGAAGGAGGGAGGGAGGGAGGAAGGGAGGGGGGAGGGAGGGAGGGAGAGAGGAAGGAAGGAAGGAAGGAAGGAAGGAAAAACAGGCCCACTTGATCTCCCTTGACAACTCTGGGGCCGTAGAATCATTTACATTGTTCCTTCATTATGTTTTAAAGTCTATGGGATTTGAAGCTATCTTCAAGCCATCATTAATTTGAGGCCTATCTTTTGTTCTTTTAGTTAGCTTGTCTGAAAGGAAATTAGATTTGGGGGATTTCCAAAGAACCATCTTCTGACTACCAATTTTCTGTACTGACTCGCTATTTTCATTATCTTTGATTTCTTCTTGTTCTAATTTGTATCATTAACTTTCTTCTGTCCACTTAGGATTTAATTTGGTCATCTTTGTTGTTGTTACCTAGTGTACAAACTCAGATTGTGGGTTATAAGTCTTATGTTCTAATAAACATATTATTAGTGCTATAATTTCCCTTCTGCATTGTTTTTGCTGCACCCAAAATATGGCAAATTGTTTTATCTTCACTGTGTTTAAAATATTTAAATTTTCTCTTGAGATTTCTTCTCTGTTACCAGAAGTATTATGCTTAATTTCCAAGTATTTGGGGGGTTTCCAGCTTCTTGGAGACAAAACGATTAAATGTGATATGACTTTCTCTTCCTTTAATTTTGTTACAATGTATTTCATGGCCCAGAATAAAACTTCATTAATGTCTTTATTGTATTTAAGAAGAACCTGTATTTTGCTATTGTTGGATGATATGGTCTGTAGACTCTGTAGACATCCAATATATCCAGTTGATTGGTGGTATTGCTGAACTCAGTTACATCTTAATTGTAACATTCTGTTGGTTGGATTTTTACATTTCAGATACAAAGTATCTGAGTCTCCAACTACAATGGGGCATTCATTGGTTTCTCCCAAGCTTCCATCCTGTATTTCCAAACTCTGTTGTTTGGCACAAACTCTGCTATGTCTTGTTGAACAATTATAACTAACCCCATGTTTCCCTTGTGAAGTTTATTCTTCCTAGAATTAATATAATGAGTTCTACTTTGTTTCAGTTTTCCTTAGTGCAGAATATGTTTCTCCATTTATTTACCCTTCACTGTGTGCATCTTTATACTTAAAGTGAGGTATTTGTAGGCAACTTAGTGTTGAATCTTCTTTTGATGCATTCTGAAAACTTTTGTGTGACTGCGTGTTGGGCTGGATGTAAGCTCAGGTAACAGAGTTCTTGTCAGGACATGGTGTCTGTAACCTAGCACTTAGTAAGTACATAGGACAATCATAAGCTCAAGTCATCCTTGACTAAATAGCAGTCAAGGCTAACCTGGACTACATGAGACCCAGGGGTATGGAGTTTCCTCGTTGAAGCTAGAGTCCACCAATTCACCTAGGCTGGCTGGCTAGCAAGGGTCTCTGTCCCTGCCTTCCTGCACTGGAGTTACAGGTGTGCACCCCCATGCTCGGCTTTGATGTGGGTGCTGGGGATCCATATCAAGTCTGTGTGCTTGTACTACAAGCACTTCCATCAACGAGCCTCTCCCCAACCCCCACATCTTCTAATAATCCCGTTAACAGCCTTCTTCATTTCAGTGTTTGATCTCTGGCATTTCTTTTTTGACTCTTAGAATTTCCACCCTTGTTTGCATTGCCAACACCCCCCCCCCTACTCTATCCATTCGTCACCTATCATATTAACCATAGTTAGAAATTTGTCTGGTTTGACAGCTCCACCACCTCGTCCACGCCCATGTCTGGTTTTGATGTGTGCTGTTCCTATCTATGCAAGCTGTGGGTGTGTCTGCTGTCATTTCGTGTTTTTCTTTGCTTTGCGTCTTAGGATGCCTTGTGACTAAGCTTTGTTTGTTTAGCCTGTGGACAATGACATCGAGGACATGTCCCGTTTTCTTTTTCACTTTCACTGGGATATGGTGGCTGGAATTAGACTAGATGGTGAGCAGAGTAGCCTCATATTGCTCATCACACATGGAAGGCTAGCACCGCCTTAAGATGGGTATTTCTCATACCTTGGGTCCCACATCCATAAACCTGCAGACTAGGTTCTAATTAACCAGGCTTGGCTTTTGGGTGTTATGTAGTGTGTGTGTGTGTTTGTGTGAGTGTGTGTGTCAGTGTGTGTGTGTGTGTGTGAGTGTGTGTGAGTGTATGTGTGTGTGTGTGTGAATGTATGTGAGTGTGTGTGCACGAGTGTGTGCGTATTCTGGGAGCAGGCTTTATTATGAAGAGAAGCAGGGAGGGTTCTTCTTGATTGTCTCCATGAAACACTGGAGGACTTAGAAGAGGCAGAGATCATAAACACGGGGAGATGGCTCAGCAGTGAGAGCACTCACTGTCCTCCCAGAAGACCTGGGCTCTGTTTCCAGCAACCACACCAGGACTCACAATGTCTGCAACCACAGTTCCAGGGAGCCTGATGACCAGGTCTCCCTGGACTTTGCTTTTTTCTTCCCCTCCTCTCCTTCTTCATCATCCCTCCCCCTTCCTCATTCCCCCTTCCCCTCCTCCCTTCTTCCTCTCCTCTCTCTCCTCTACAACTGACCTAGCCTTAGCCACATCCTAGGGTTTTTCCAGTCTCAGAGTGGCTCACACACTAAGCATCCAACACTCTAGCAATTTAGGTCAGGTTTTCATTACCCAGCAGCCTCTACTCCAGTGAGTACCAGTTACTTGTATCTGCCTAGCTTTCCAGTTTGGGGAGCAGCTGCTTGCCCTGTGACCTCACAGCTGGGCAGAGTTGCTGGCTTTGCAGCTTGCTGAGTCTCATACTTGTCAGGTCTGAGGGGCGATGGAATGGCTTCACTGGAAAGTCCCTATCCAGATTCTTAGTTCACTCCCCCCCCCCCCCAAGCCACTCTGTCTTCCTATAGGCGTATGTCTATTGAAATACCTCTCATACAAATCACAGACTCACAGGAAGGGGAGACACCTAACGGTGGCCAATGCCGATAAGAGGCAAGGTTACTGACAGCTTCCTCTCTCAAGTCAGCTTCTAGGAAAGACCCTCAGCCCCTGACTAGAGCTTGAGTCCTCTCCCACATGGAGTTATTCAGGAGACATGTTTATTAATCATGTAGGATAAAATACATAAGCAAAAGCCAATTTAAAAAAATTAAAGTTACAGTTAAGTATCTGGCATGGTGTTGCATGTCTACAGTTCCAGCGCTCAAGAGACAGAGGCAGGGGGATTGTGAGCTCGAATCTCATCTAATACACATAGTTAGACGTTGTCTAAAACAAAAGAAAACAAAACCAGAAGGAGAAACCAACATAAATAAAAATGTGGAAAATGCAACCCAAACTGTAGCCATCGGAGAAAGAAATGACATGTACATGAAAATCCCTTAATAATGATGAGAAAAATTCTTTTCAATATAACCTATAGAATAAAATACAAAAAAATTTAAAAAGCAAAAATCTCAGAGTAGCTGACTAAATTAAAGAAACCCCAACCACTGGACTGCTTTGAGCATCCTAAATCTACCCCTTGCCTGTCACCTGAGCTATCATATTATTTCCCTGGGGCCAGTGTTTTCCCTGGGATACATTCAGACCCAGAAGGACAACTTTTCTACCAAGAAGCAAAGAGAGGAAGTTTGAAAAGGAAAGAATTAGTCAAACCAAGCAAATGTGGATGTCCTAGGCAGTGAAATTTAAAAAAAAAAAAAAATTAATGTAGTTAATAGAAAGATTTCTCCTCCCCTACCTACCTGTCTGCTGCATAGCCCAAGGTGAATGCCCCAGCCAGAAAGCCAAGGTTCAGGATGGCTTGGGTGAGGTCCAACATCCAGGCATTGGCACAGACAAGGTCAAACTGGAGAAACAAAGAAAAACACATGAAGATACCTGGGGAGATTTGGCACCGTCTTTATAAGAGTTTTGCTTACATATGCCTCACATAAAATATGAGGCTGTATCACATGCTCGTGTATCCATTGGTCTGTGCATATTTTCTTTGTCAGTTTACATGACTGCAAGGGAATGAAACCCTAGCACATTACGAGTGCTGGCATTTTAAAATAATGTTGTTAGGTCCATCTATTGGGTGTGACTGTGGTGTGTCAGTGCTATGGTGATCTCCTACTACCATCCAGGATAACAAGCTTTGCAATCCTACTTGCAGTGAGTCACCTATACAGAAACTGCATTCAGTTCTTAAAATCAGTCTGTGACAATCTAACCCTGATATGTTAAAGGGTTAACGCAAGCTCTCCGAGGTATGTATGGCTGCAATTTTGTGATCATGTGTGAGATTATCGGAATAATTGCCCACTGGCGTTAGACATATTGCAAACACATCGAGAGAAATATGCAAAGAAACTCAGAAAGTGAGCAGATTGCTACCAGAAAAGCCAACATTTTGTTTTAGAAAAGTACCAAGCAGCATCCAATATAAAAACCTGCATAGCAGGATTTGCTTGCAACCCCTAAGCTTTAAATAGCTGGGTTAGGGAGAACAGAGACAGGCACATAGCACCTGGCAAGAGCGACCCTCTTAATGAGCTGTCAGAGCTCCCTTCATGTTATATGAGCTTAAATGCCCCAAGTCATCTTCAAACCCACGGAATTCTTTAATATGAAACTGGCTCTCCTCTCTGCTCCTCCATTAGAGCAACAGCCAGAAAGGATTTTTATACACTGTATTTACATTGGATTAGTTCAAAACAAATAACTATTAGCACTTTCTAAAAAGCTTGGAGAGCTGTCTGGGCAGATGGTGCCTATTCCTCTGGGCGTTCCAAACACCAGGGGCCAGAGAAAGATGTTGCATTTCTCAGGCTTTTTTTGCCACTGGGGAGATTCTTGGGTTTAGGGAGCTGGTACAAGATTAGAGGGAAGGACTCTGCTCCTGGTTGTGATACAGCCTGGCTTTGACAGTGGTGGCTGGTGGGTGGAGGTGTCCATCATCCAGTGCTTGCAGCCCTGACCTAGCCACACGCAGGCAAAGGAATCTGACCCCACAGGAACTGGCACAGGGATGTCAAAGTTGTCATCAGACTGGGCAGGGCTGACTACCAAGACTGCAGAGCCTACATTTCTTTTCTATTTTTCTTAAAGCCCTTCCAAATTAACTCGGTATAATCCTTTTGTTAACTCTATCCCTGCCTAATATATCTAGCCTGGTTTTTATTTTTATGGCTGGGACCGTGCTGGCTTGCAAAAGCACAAAATAAGTGTCAACCACAAATGTGTATTTAAACAGATGCACAGGCGTTCTTCTGCATCTGTTACATTACAGACCCTCCAACTGCACCCTTTCTTGCCCAGAAGTCAGGCCATGCCCCTTTAGTCCCTGGACAGTTGACAAGGAAGCCTCTTGTATATAGCTGGAAGCCCCCCCCCCACCATGATAGCCCAGCCTGAGAGAACCTTCCTTTGTAGCTCAACTCTCTTGTCTACAGCCGCCCTTCATGTCAGAGGCCACATAAGCTGTGTCACATGGGACATCTCTGTTCCCTCCTCTGAAAACCTACAAGAGTCAGAGATCCCCTTTGTCCCATGGATCTGAAGGTTGTCCAGATCCCGGGCCCCATCATGCCACTGTGATAAGACATTTGCTCTCTGTGATGGCTTATTTTGGCTGTCAACTTGACTGTATGTGGAATTAACTAAAACCCAAGTGACTAGTTATGCCTGTGAGGGATCTTCCTTGGTTGAATCATTTGAGTGGAAAGACTTACCCTATATCTAGACCTTTTAAGTCTGGGTCATACCCTCTGGGGGGGGGCAGCCTATAGAAAAGACATGGAGGAGGAGGCACATTGCCTGCTCTTTGCTGCTTGTCCTCACTCTCTAGCAAGTTCATTCCTTCACTGGCATTAAAGCCTACTTCTTCAGGGTTCCAGTATATACTGACGATCAGCCGAAACATCCACGTTACTAGATTCTTGGATTTTCCATCTCGAGTCACCCATTGTTGGAATAGTTGGACCACAGCAACCACAGCATGTAAACCTCTCTACTAAATCCCAAACACTGCTCTCTCTCTCTCTCTCTCTCTCTCTCTCTCTCTCTCTCTCTCTGTGTGTGTGTGTGTGTGTGTGTGTGTGTGTGTGTGTGTGTGATATTCATTCTATCTGTTCTGTTCCTCTAGAGAACCCTGGTTAGCATACTTTTCATATGCTCTCCCATGGGGATTCACCTTGGCTGTCTATGCTCACAAACCTATAGATCATCCAATAGAGTTCTTCTGAGGGCAATTTCATTTCAGCTTTCCTGTCTATGAACTGCTTCCGCTCTGATATTTTAAAGAACTATTAGTGTGTAGGGTGTGTGTGCACGCATACTGGGAGCACACACACGCCGTAGCACTCAGGTAGAGGTCAGAGGGCAAACCCAAGGAGTCTGCTCTCTCCTTTGATCTCTCCATAGGTTCAGGGGTCAGGTTGTTGGACTTGCACAGCACACCCCTCTACCTGCTGAGCCATCCCCACAGCCAGACCTGCTGAATCTGATGAATTATAACAAACCGGAGCTGAAGCTGAGAACCTGAGGGCTGGAGATCTCTCTTCCTTCAAGAACCTATCATGCTGTCCCTAGTGGACAAACTCTCCTTATTCTGGGGATTGAGGCGGCTTCTCTTCATGACCCTTATCATACTATCTTTGATGGCTCTCTTTCCTAATCATCTCCACTTCAGGACCTTCTCACAAATGGCCACCTATGGTCAGGATAACCCCACGTTAACTCACTGCCAGGAAGCACACTTCAGCATCCGGGGACTGCCACTTCAGGGCTTCTAATCTTCCGTGTGCTGCTGCAATAGCCAGCCTGGATACACTTATTGTGTTTAAAGAAAGTCGGCAGAGAGGACCAACCAAGGGCTGGAGAGGCCCTCTCCACCAACAAAGCACCAGGCATATTAGACAGCTCCTCGGGGGACGTAAACCTGACACTGATCAGTAGGTCACCTTAGATTGCCAAATCTACTGACCTTCATCAGAGACACAAAAATGCATGTCTCTCTCTTAAGGCAACCTGTGTAGAGCAAGTGAGCCACATCTAATTTTATTTTCCAGAGTGTACACACGTATCAGAAGCATTTAAATATTCTTAATACTCATAAAACCATGTGTGGCCATCTTGTTACTTATTAATCTTCAAAGCCACTTTACACAAACAGAGTAACTCTCCTTGACACAGGCAGAGAGTCGGTCTGATAGGAGACTCGGGCAGCCCTTCATGGAAGGCCAAAAGTTTACATGTGTCTCATTATGCAGAATGTATGGGCAACTCTGGGGAAATTAGGTATTTCCAAAGAATTTCCAGCTAAGGCCTCTTCCTTAGAACTTCCCAGCTGTCAAAATCCAAACAGACACTATGTTGCTTTGAGTCTAATGATAAAATACCAGGACAAGTTTTTAGTGTACGTGAAGGTTGCAAATTTTCTAGATGTTAAAGCAACGGAAGTGATCTGGAATACAAAGGTCAAAGATGAGAAAGTTAAAAACAACAAAAGTATTCAGAAGGCCTTGCTTGACCCCCAAACTACGGGGCATGGGCTTCTAACCATCAGCTGGACTGCGTGGAGGCCTGACTTAGCCATCTCAATCAAAGTCTCAGGTCAGAGACACGATGGTTAGAAGACTTCAGTGGTCAACTGAAGGGAGAAAGGGGTGTCTCTGAAGTCCAGCCACAGAGGCTAAGTACTCCCATTTCAACTGTTCGGGGATGAGCAGCGCTATCCGTCAGACGTGGTTTGTTTGGAGGCTGATCTCCAGTGTGGTGGTGGGACATTTAAGAGCAGCGTCTGACGGGAGATGGCTGGCTGATGGGCACAGCTTGGGAAGGCGTTATCCCCAGCTCCCATAGTGTAAAGGGGAATGAACTGACCTCTGGCTTCCTCTGGCTGCCTCTTCTGCCATTTGCTTCTCTCCAGCCCTCACCTTTGTGATGCTGTCACCATGAGGTCCTTAACGGAAGCCAAACAGAAAGGGCCACCTGACCTGGGCCTTTCTACCTCTAACCCTGCGAGCTACATGGCCTCTTTTCTTCATGAGTACCAAGTTTTAGGGATGTTATCTTTGCAAACATCGGTGGTGGCTTTGGCTTCACCGTCAGGTACGGCATGACCCTGCTGAGTCTGGCACAGACCAAAGCAATCACACATCTATTTCCAAAGATGAATTCCAATTTAGATCAATAGCAGGGCACTGAAATGGAGCCCCCATGAAGATATAATGAAAAGAACGCTTTGGGTTGGAATTCCAATTCATTTTTTAAAAACTAAGTAACCCAGGCTGACCTCAAACTCCTGACCCTCCTGCCTCCACCTCCTTCAGCAAACCCTACTGTCGTGTATCACCACAACCAACCAACAGAGTTCTGGGTGTTTGTTTTGTCATTGTTTTTCCAGATGGAGGAGCTTCTCTGTGTTGCCCTGGCTGTCCTGCAATTCACTCTGGCCTCGAACTCAAGAGATCTGCCTGCTTCTGCCTCCCGTGGGCTGGGATTAAACGTGTGCGCCACCAACACCCACCAATAAACACATCTTCAAATAAGATCTGGTGGCACTATTTGGAGATCATCTAATAATAGCGAGCTAATGCTTTCCTTATGTAAGATATGAACCATTATGACAAGTTGCAGGTATAAAAAATGAGTCACAGGTATTTCCAGCTAACCGGGAGTTGGCGACCTTGGCGTTAAGCCTCTGAAGCCGGGAAGGAACATCACTGATGTTCAAATCTACTTTCTGTCTTTGTGAGCGGCTTGCGGCACAGTTGGAAAGCCAAAGCCAATTTATGGGGAGCAAAAATACACCACCTGAGATCTAAATGGGGTATCTAAATGTGAGAGATCCAGAGAAGGAGC